TCCTCTATCAATTGAATTTTCAAGAAACCTCTCAGCTGTAACAGAAGTGCCTTTTTTTAATCTTGAACAAATATTTCCCTATGGCAAACGATCGCACTTTACTGTGATTTTCTAACGTGTTTTCAATATCAAAATCCTCTATCAATGGAATTTTCAAGAAACCTCTCAGCTGTAACAGAAGTGCCTTTTTTAAATGGATTCCCAGTTAGGGTTTGTTTTCTTAGTAGACTATTCGTTTCTCGGTGGATTGAATAAGACTCGTGGCATTCCTTCTTCACAAGGAAGAGGAAAAATGTAGCAATAGTGATACTTTTTGTTACTCCGATTGAGACCACATTCGACAATCAAATTTTTATTTTTTATTTTTATTATTTAACAAGCCCCCCAGTGGCATAGCGGTATGTCTGCGGACTCACAACGCTAGAAACCGGGTTTCGATACCCGTGGTGGGCAGATCACAGATAGCCCATTATTTAACAAAAATACAACAATACAGAAACAAAAAAAAAAACAGTCGCTTCTTCGTCATCGAACGTTTTCTACCGTGTCAAAGTGTTGCACGTGTGAATATACAGGGTATTTTAACAAATTCAATTACGCAGGCTGTGAAGATTGCATTTTTCCAATTACCATATCTTCAGTGAAAAATAACTTGCTTAAGTCTCCATCAGAAAAGCGCCTGAATGTCGTCTTCTCCAAGCAGATACATCCCACAAGTACTCCTAAGCCAGTAACGTCTACGAGGACTAGTACTGCATGAGACCAAACTCAATGTGCGTTTAAGTGACATATAAACGTTGAAACGATCACACGTGATTGTCATTATCCAGAAACTTCGAGACAGAAATTTTGATAGCAAATAACACCATAAAACATAAAACCATTCCAATTTATAGAGTGTCACGATGAAGAATAAAATTCTGCTAGTAAATAGAACATTAGAAATAATAATAATAATAACGAGAGTTTGGGAACAATGAAATTTCTTATGACTTCATAAAACTGAAATGCAACCGTTTTCTAGATATCCGGAGAATCGGGACGTCATATCCGGTCACTCTTATGCATGCCAATCAGAGAGAGGGATTACAAAATCATAGGTATGATTCGTTAATAACTCACATTTATACTTAATCAATAGATATATATATATTATTAAAGGATTATAAAATTATAGGTATGATTTCGTTAATAACTCACATTTATACTTAATCAATAGATATATATATATTATTAAAGGATTATAAAATTTTAGAGCTGTAGTTATCAGTTAAAAAGCCAGATCACAAGTTGCTACGAACACCATTTTAAAGTACAAAACATTACAAAGCAAAGTCTGACACACCGAATTAGGATAGGTTTGATTTAAAGCATAATCAACAATAGTATATATATATATTAGTTTACTTAATGAAAGATAATTATTTTTTGTTCTCTAGGTGTGGCAACAATCATCAATCGATTAGACGGTCTTGTGTTTGACGAAAATGACGAACAACTCTTCAAGGTAATGAAATCATTGTTATCATATTTAACATTTTCACGAATATTGCATTATTTTGGGGGTATTTCACTCTACTTAGAGATGGTTATTTGGTACGACGAGAATGTCGGCCCTTTTAACCTCTACTCAATCGCAATGTCCGCAAAAACTGGAAGAAAAATAACCCGTGCACATTCCTTACTTCCCGAACTCTCTGTCGAAAGATTTGGGCACAAGAAACGAGCAAACGGTATTGAAATCTGATTCTTTCACACATTGCATAGAAAATATGAAAAATAAATCAGATCACGAAAGCTGTTGTTCGAAACTCTGATTCAGAAAAACTAAGATGCAATTAGTTTTATCTAAAGGGCATTGTAACATTTGTCCAACCACGAAAATCATTAGAACTGAAAATGGATAAAAAAAAGATTGTTCTTTGATATTGTACCAGTTCTTCACGTTTACAACCACTTTATTAACAAAACTATTTACATTTTGAGAGTTTTAATTATCGCAACGTTTACAACCACTTTATTAACAAAACTATTTACATTTTGAGAGTTTTTATTATCGCAACGCTTATAACCACTTTATTAACAAAACTATTTACATTTTAAGAGTTTTTATTACCACAACGTT